CCCCCCCCCCCCCAACAGCCTGCTCCGATCACTGACCAATTTAGCACAGCTTGGGGCAGGAATAACCAAACACCGCTCCCAAATCCTTGTTTAAACAGCTCTAGGTTGGAGCTGCTGCCAGGAAGTCCAGGGCAGGAAATATACTGCCCCTGCAGCTTTGGTACTTGGGCACCATTATTGGCTTACCACACACCCTGACCCCTGTGTTCGTGTCATTGTAAGGGCAGACTATATATGCACACTCGGGAAAGTCTTGTCCACCTAATAATTGGACCATTTTACCTTCTCATGTATGGCAGGCTTTCATCTCAAATTACTTATCTGATAGGTTTACTTCACAGAAAGTGATTGCAATCTTCTGGAGGGAATGGAGGAGCTGCAATAGCCATGGATTGTGTGTGTGACAATACACAGGATAAACCAGATGTATTAATAAATGCACAGCCAATTGTGTCCCCCGCTCCCCCCACAAGCAAGTGTAAATCCTGACAATTACATTAGTTAAAGGAAGGCAAATCAGGTATGAGGTCAACTTTTCCTTTGTAGATTTACTCTAAAACATGACAGTTGTGTTTACAAGCAGCAAATCAAAGCATCCTGCATTTTTGTTTTTGGATTTTATGTTAAAAGCACCCAAATGGGAAAGAACTGTCTTGAGAATAAATTTACAACATGTATGCGAGAGAGAACATGCTTATTGCTGTTCTTACCCCGCTTGATAGCAAAATTAATTTTAAAACCAGCCAACATTTGAACATAATTTCTTACTCCTCACAGGTGCAATCTGATGGCCTTTACCAGCAAGACAACTCTGCATCACAAAGAAATATTCTGCTCCACCCTTAATGACTTGCAAATAATAGATCTAGTTTCACAATTCCTTCCTCTCAAGGTTATGTTGATCTGGTCTTTTTCCTTGTTCTTGAGGATTAACATCTGTGCCCTTGAAGGAGGACACTGCTAAATTGCCTATACCAGATGGTCCAGGAGAAACTATTTCTGGTAACCTTGTGTAAGACTGAATAAAACTATTTATAAAGGGAAAAAGGCTGTGTGTGTGTGCATGTGTACACACGTGTATTTAAGAAAAAAATTAAAATGGGATGCTTAAATGAAGAACATTATCAAAGTTAAAATATTGTTTATTTAACCAGACTTTCTGTAGTGGGAGCTGAAATCTTTCCTGGTTAAACCCTGAAAAGGTTAAGATTTTTTTTTAAGTCTCTTAGAAAAATATGAAAGCTTATATGGAATTAATTTCCAACTAATTAACAATGAATGTGTGTGCATAATTTATTTACATAAGAGATGCATATTCTGGAAAAAATGGTAAACAACTTAAATACAGCCCATATTTTGATAAAAAACACTTTTAGGGCAGTCAAATATTTAGCATTTCAGTACACTAAATATAAAACTCTTTGAAAACATACTATTACTAGTACTACTATGTAGTTGACCTTCAACTATTTAAGTGAACCTTTGTTTGAAATAGCCCAAAGCACAAAAAGTGTTTTTCTGTAAGTTATACATTATTCATGCCAGAACAGGTAAAAGGCACCAAAAAGGAGGCAAGAACAAAGGACAAAAGGTTATAAAAGTTGAAATATTTTTACTTCGAAATCCAGATATCAAACTGTTGTGAAACAAGTACATCAATGAAGTGTTCTTAAAAGGAATAGCAACAAAAGCATATCATTAAAACATTGCATTTCCTAGACTGCCTGTTGTACCTATCCTCAGAGTTAACAACATCCAGCTTTTCTTATTCTTTAAAAAAATCAGTTTCTATTTTCAGACTTATGCTGTGAACTAAAGCATATCTGGATTTAAAATTCACAGACAAAATTAAGCATATAATCACATCATAAAACAGCAATACTCTTACTTCATCAAAATGTCTCACAGGGAAATTAGCAAATCTAGTTTACTTGTATTCTAAAGTACAGTGTTTTGAAGCAACATAACCCCCCCACTCTTTTCAGTAAGAACTGTACACAATTAAAACAAATATTGTAGTTTAAAAACTACTCAGACGTTTCTTAAACGTGTCTCATTTCCACAGCTACTGTAAAAACAGATTTTTATGATGGAAAACTTCAAGACTAATTCCAGTTGTATCTTCCAGCGGGAGGTGGTAATGGGTAGGGCCTCCCGGGGCCATATCCCTGTAAACAAACAAAAGCAAGCATTTATTTGCTGGATTAGCGACAGTAAATAAGTTAGCCTAGCTTCAAGCTCCACGCAAAAATGGAACAATGCATCCTTTACACAGAAAGGTACCACAGAAAGAGCTAAACTTCTTCGAACTGTGTTTGCAGAAGCTCTCCTGGATAGACACGCTTCAGTTTATATAAAAGAGTGCGCGCTGGATACAACACTGGTCTCACCATTTTAAACATGTGCTGGAAAAGATGGAATAATCCTAAATAAGAATCCAGTAAGTTAAAAGACAGCTCCAAGTAATTTATTTGAGCTGGAAATATAATGGCTTGGTATTCTCTTTTCAATAGTGCTGGAAGTTAGAAGCTTAAAGGGGGAGGGGGCTAGCAACAGGGTTTGAAAAGCAAATTTTGCTTGTAAAAACAAAAACACTAGGTTCTATATTACACTTAGAGTTAAGTTTGTACCTTAGTTGCATTATCAATGTATCCATTTTTTCACTTGGTTTAAGTGCAACTTTTTGTATATTATAAATTGTAAGCTGATCTTCTGCTACACAAAATAGGAACTATTACTGATACAAATGAAAGGAATACAAATTTGCACTGGGCACAGTTGTGATACCCTCTATGTCAAATGACTGGCTGTAAGTCTATCTATGGGTACCTTAATGGGACAGTCAACTTTAAACTAATTTCAAATGATTCCAAGCAACTTTTCTTTGGTCTCTCAGGATTAGTGATTTGCCTCTACAATTTCATTTTTGTGTCATTTGAGAAACTGTATAGCCAGTCTTTTCCTTTAGAGCAGAGGCGTTAAACATTCAGCCCTCAAGGCTGGATGCAGCTGCTTTATCCAGCCCACCAGACTATACAAGTTGGCAACGGTTAGGAGGGGATGAGGCCTGCTGCAGAATCCTGGACCCTCAGCAGCAAGTGGGCAAGCAGGGGCTGTGCTAATACAGCCCCGCTTGCCTTACTACTATTGGCCCCACTGCAGCTGCCCTATGCCCAGTCCAGCCTGTGACGAGCCTTGCAGTGTGGGGCACAGGATGAGTCTGACATTTCTATCCTAGTGCAAGCTTTTATCCAGACTCTTCCATGAGTGCTTAGGAACAAGCAAAACTAAGCTGTGGTAGAAGAGGCAGCAGGCAAACAGGTGAAAAGGGAATACAGGAAGATGGGTTGGCTTGAACATATCCTCCTGCCCCAAGTAGCCAAAGAACTTTTTCTAACATCACTCCCTG